ATATATATATGTATTGACCCCCTTCTTTAAATTAGATGTTTCGGAAGCGGGATGAACTCCTAGCACCAGCTCGCATGCGAGCAATTCAAGAGGAATTGGCGGCATTCTTTCTTGACCACGTGATCCCTGAAGACGGAGAATTCTATGTGGACCCTGAGTCCGTATGATTATATTTGTAAGAGATAATTATTGTATATATGTAGCCGGTAGTGTCAGATAGATATACGAGAACTTGTTGTTCGACCAATCTCTCGGAGAAGGAGAGGTGGTCAATATCACTTCTCTCTGTATGCATATATGTTCATGACGATCTTCTGTTTCCTTCGTTTGCTTACTAGCTAGCCAGCGTGTCTAGTCATCTCTATACGTATGTATAGTACGTAGCGTCGACCAACCACGGACATAAGAGAGGACACTTCTCTCTATTAATTATAGCTAGCTAACACAATATATGAAACACCTAAATTAACCTCCCAAAACTCCCAACCCCCCCCCCCCTTTCAAAAAAAACAAAAACCCCAGCCACAGAAATGCTGACGCGTGGATGCCTATTGGTCTCGGTTGGTGCCACCAACCCGGACCAAAGGGTCTCCTGACTGGGCTCTGCGCACTGCCCACGTGGAGGCCGGGTCGGGGCATTAGTACCGACACTTTAGTCCCGGTTCAGGAACCGGGACTAAAGGCCCTTACGAACCGGGACTATAGGCCCTTTTTCTACCAGTGGTAGGATCTATTTGATTTTGTTTTGGGGTGCTTTTTGGTTAGTGCGACCCTGTAGGCCCTTTTTCTTCCATACTCAACAATGTATCCATGGTGTGTTGAGGCGCGGACTCGCATTTGGAAGTAAAAAAAGATTGTTTCTTATTTTCCTTAGAGAGAAAAATACTGGTTCTTTTTTGTTCTTCATTATTGCAATTGCATATACCTATTTCTTCGGAGCTTCTCTTTTTCTTTTGAGATCTAGAGTAGAAAATTCTACTCACATTGGAGCAGTACATTCAGTTAGCACCAGTGGTCGAAGGCTCTCCAGAACATCAGCAATCTATGTATTTCTTCCGAGCTTCTCTGATTGAAACGGTGGAAGAACATGCCATATCGTTGTTTGAAGAAATAGTGGAATTCAGCAAAGATACATGTCCAGGTTTTCAATCCCGGTAGATGCACATAAAAGGTGAAACAAAAATATATAACAAACAAATTATGTTATAAAAAAGTTTGTTTTCATATGAGAAACGGAGCAGTGCGTCTTTTGATCTTTGTTGCTAATGCCTGATACAAAACACAATTAAGAACAGCAATGAACACTTCATTGTCCCCTGAAGATGTATTGCTAATATCTTCACATCATTAAACATCAGGCAATGCAAAAGTTATCTGAAAAAAAATTAAGTAAAGAACCAACAGGCTTGTTGCCGCAGAAATCTAAATACGCATAGTCATATTTGCCAGTACGCATCCCTGGTTGCAATTCAGAATAAGCAGTGAGGATCGTGTAATTGCTACGTAGAGAAGGAATAATATATAAGGAACTAAAGAACGTAGGGAGATAAAACATGAGATAACAAATACGGCAGGAACCAAGTGTTTTTGAGGTTATATGTGGCTTTCTCACCGGTCAAAACCCATTTTCCATGAACGGGAACATCCATCATAATTTCCATACGTCTACAAGAACGGACCAAGTCAATCACGATGTATCTCAAGCAAACAGCTAGGCACGTAAAGAGCATTGTGTGCTAGCCAAGCAAAACAGCCACAACGAAGCAATATACAAGAAGAAAAACATACAAACCACATAATCTCCTATTCCCAGGATGACTTGACATGGAAGTGGGAGGGACCAATTAAATGAACATATATTCAGATTTCAGAAGAAGGATATACGTACAGATCAACAGGGTTCTGTAGCCTTTCGTCCTCTGGCTTCGATATGGCCGTTGAAGAACATGGGGAGAGCAATTTCTTCGCTCCTCGTTCAATTACTCTACGAGGAAGCTCGCAATCAGAAGGCATACGATGGAAACACACAATTACACGGTGGCGGCGGTGCCATCGGAGGTAGTGGTGGATCTACCACAGGGGTTAGCAGGTGACCCGGTTGGCGGAAACAGAGTACTCCCCCGCCAGCCCTCAGCCTTAGGGTCGAGTTCCAGCCTCCAAATCACCATGGCGGTCGAGCTCCAACCTGTCAGGTGTGATTTTAAGAGAAGAGAAACATACAAAGAATATGGCCCAGGCCAATATGAGAGGAGGGCGCTTCACCGAGCGCACGAGTCAAGAGAAATCTATCGATCTAATCCCTAGCGCCGGTACTGGCTAACGCACCTTCGCACCGATGCCGCCACTGGATGCCTCATCCTCCGCTGGATGCTCCCTCGTCCGCGACTCCGCGGTACTGCTTCTCAGGCGCTCAACCTCGACGGCTCCACGATCCGGGCATGGCCAGACATACGGTGGCCTGGTCCTTCACACAGAGCTTGCTGTCGAGATCGAAGGAATGTGGGTTGGTGGAGGAGACCATTAGTCAGAGAAGGCGGAGTGCCGGCGTGCAGATTAATAGGAAGAGATTTGGTGCGGAGAGAAAATGAGGAGACATATCTGCTGATGTAGACGATACGGCCGCAGCGCCACATTCAAGGAGAGGCGTCTTTGGTGGGTCATTTACAGCTGATCCGTCTTCATTGAGGGGAAGTATGGCTGGGCTTTGGCTGGTTATTTAAGTCAGATAATACAACCTACAATGGCCATATAGATAGATGATGATTGGAAGAAAAATGCTGATGTGGCACAACTAATGACGTGGATAGGCTGCATGTAAGGAGAAATAGGATAGTGGGGATGAACTATTTAGGTATTATAGATCAGCTAATTAATTCTTAATTAAGAAATCTACTACCTCCATTTCAGTTTACAAGTCCTACGCGTATACCTAGGTTGCCAATTTTATCACCCTAATATAAACTATATAACACAAAAATTATACCTTTTGAAAGTAGAAACTCCGAAGTTTATGTTGGTATATTTTTCGTAATATATGACTTGTATCAAGTTGATCAAATTGACGACCTAGAGGTACGCGCACGCCCTGTAAACTGACGACCTAGTAGTTGGATTGCAACACTCAAAGTAGCCAGGGAGTGGGCTGTTGGGACCTCCTGTACCTTTATGGTTCTTTGACCCCGACATATTGGACTTATTTAACGACGCATGCGTTTGCTACTTGGAAGGTTCCCCTCATCTCTCTCATATGTTAACTTTTTGTTCATTTAGACTTACTAAATGGATATCTTTTAGGTCACGTCATAGAGGCGAACTTTCCACATGTCGGGCAAACACATACATACACAACAATGCCGATCTAATTAAGTGTCTAATTAGTGTCAGCGATGATGCAATGGATAGGAGTTGGATCTCCTGTAAATCTCATATGTGCTGCCTTCTTGCATCAGCAACTCTCAAAGCTAGGGAACAAGCACAGAAGGGTGAGAGTTATTTACGTATTAAAATACTTCAAACTATACTTGTCCATTGAGGTAGAAGTCAGCAGCCATAATGCCATTGAACATCGATCGAGTGGAGCTGGATCGCCTATAATTCCTAGGTGTTCTGCTGCCTCTGCGCAACAAGTTGCAAGGTTTAATTTCTTGTACGAGTAGAGTCAGTGTACTTGAACCAAGAAAATACACAGCTCGATGAAGTACCATGTACTGCTCTTTATGTAGTACTAAAACCCCTTCGGTTCAGCCTAACCCATCTTTCGTCACTGCTGACCGTAGTTAATTTAGAGTAAACTAAAACCCCTTTCTGTCATCGCCTATAAAAACCCTCTGAAACCTCAAACCTAGCACACCAAAATCAGCATCACCCACTAACCGAGCTGCCACATACACTTTCCTCCTACTAACAATGGCCGATGTGGTGCTTCTGGACTTCTGGGCGAGCCCATTCGGGCAGCGGTGCCGGATCGCGCTGGCAGAGAAGGGGGTTGCCTATGAGTACAGTGAGCAGAACCTTGAGCAGAAGAGCGAGCTGCTTCTGAGATCCAACCCCGTCCACAAGAAGATCCCCGTCCTGCTCCATGGCGGCAGGCCTGTCTGCGAATCTCTCCTCATCCTCACCTACATCGACGAGGCATGGCCGGAGGTGGCGCCGCTCCTCCCACGGGACCCCTACGCCCGCGCGCAGGCCCGGTTCTGGGCTGACTACATCGACAACAAGGTATATACAAAGGAACCTCGCTTTATTAAGACAACAGAGAATAGAACAAAACCATGCCACTTCATTTATCTTCCTCAAAGTTGGGGTTAAATTTTTTTTTCGCGACATTTCATTGGTAGAGGAAGTTAAGAGTGAAAACAGGTGAACAACACATGACACGAATCTACACACCTAGTAACAAGCATTCTAGTACTAGTTCATTTGATTTATGAACCATATGTAGCTTACCATGAATCCAGCAAGTAAACTTAGCTTAACACAAGGGTGCATGAACTATTTTTCCGATTAAAGGATGCAGGACTAACATTCCAAATGTGAAATTGCAGATCATTGACTGTCAGACCCGCCTGTTGACGACGAAAGGGGAGGCCCTGGAGCAGGCCAAGAAAGACATGATCGGGGCTCTCATGACCCTGGACTCAGAGCTCGGTGATAAGGACTACTTCGGCGGTGAGGCGTTCGGCTTCGTGGACATTGCGTTCGTGACCTTGACCCCCTGGTTTTACACCTACGAGAAGTACGGTGACTTCAGCGTCGAGGAACACTGCCCAAGGATCGTGGCCTGGGCCGCCCGGTGCAGGGAGCGTGAGAGCGTGGCCAAGGCACTTACTGATCCTGAGAAGGTGTATGAGATCGTCCAGGAGGAGTATGGTGCCAACTAAATAGAGTACTAGGTTATCTATGTAGGCATGCATGTAATCTGGTTATATGCCCGCTGTGGCTTTATCTCCTAGGTATGTGTTCCCTTTGTCACTCAACTTGGTCAAACTTTATGAAATGTACCTTTCGTAAGAAAGAAATACACACACTATATTGAACGAAAGGGGTATGCGGTAGAAATTAAAATTATAAGCAAATTGTCATTGTTAAAATCAACTTATTATTTTTTAATTAATCAATTCCGTTGGATTACAACACTCGGACATGCCAATGAGTGGACAACCCGTAAGTTGGGACCTCCCGTACCTTTACGGTTCTTCGACCCCGACATATTTCGTCGACACATGTGTTGTTCACTTGGAAGGTTCCCATTGTCTCTCTTATATTTTAAGTTAACTTTTTGTTCGTTTAGACTAATAAATTGATATTTATTATTACAACAATTAAACTTCTAAGTGAAACAAAGACATGACAAAAGAAAGTCAAATTAGAGAATGAGTGCCTGACAAATAACAAAAGTGAGATTATATATCGGGCAGTCCGGAAGCTCTCAAGCTATATAGTTTTCATCAAAATTCAAGCTTTATAAGAATTAAATCTACAATACCAAATAAATATAATCATTAGAAACATGATTAGGTTATCTTATTTCATATTATTATTATTATTATTATTGATATTTTTCTTTGTAAACTTGGTCAAGCTTTATGAAACATGAATTTTGAAAAACAAATGTGCTATATTTATGACGAAGGGAGTATGATGTAGAAATGAGAACTTTCAAGCAAGTTGTCATTGTCAAAATCAGCTAATAAATTATTCATTAATTAATCCAATTGGATTAACACACTTAAAAGAAGCCAGGGAGTGGGATGTTGGGACCTCCCGTACCTTTACGGTTCTTCGACCCCGACATATTGGATGTATCATTTATATCTAAATAGCTAGCCTCCACTAACATGTTTCTCTCAACATGCAAGCATGGCGCCCCATCATTAAACATGTGTGGCAAAAGTCCCACCTCAACATGCAACTATGCATAATAAAAAAGCCACCTCAACATGCAAACAAGCATGCATGGAAAATGCCGTTCTACCATGCTACTTAAATATAATTCTTATATTTGTTCAAAAACTATTATTTCAAATATTCATGTTCCATATAACGTAAACCTCACTCAAATATTGCAAAACATTCCCGCAATAACTTGCGGGGCATCATCTAGTTTATTTAACGATGCATGCCTTTGCTACTTACATGGTTCCCCTCATCTCTCTGACCAGGTAACCTTTTCTTTAATTTATACTAACTAAATGTATATCTTTTAGGAAACGCCAAAATTCCACCCATCGAGCATACACATACACATATACACAACAATGCCGGTTTAATTAAGTGTCCAATTAGTGTTAGCGATGATGCAATGGATAGGAGCTGGATCTACTGTAAATCTCATATGTGATGCCTTCTTGAATGAGCATCTCCCAAAGCTAGGGAACAATTGCAGAAGGGTGCTGCCATGGCTGGGTTATTTATGTATAAGAATACTGTAAACTATATTTGCAATGTTTATTTTCTTCTGCTAGTAGAGTTAGTGTAGTTGAACCATCAAAATACACAGCTCGATGAAGTGTTATCGACTTCCAAGGTCATACATTGTAGTACTGAAACCCCTCCCGCAGAAAAAGGGTAATAAAACCCCATCAATTCAGCCCAACCCATCGCTCGTCATTGCCGACCACAGTTAATTAGGAGTAAACTAAAAAAATCTAGGCCAAGAAAGACTTGATCAAGCTGGGTGCTCAAGACCCTAGAGGCCAAGCTCCATCCCACACCACGATGAAGATTGTGTGGATTAAGGAGATCGTCTTCCTAAATCATAGTTGACTTGGAGTTCAAGTAAGTTTGACCTGACTAAGAGGACAAGCTATGTTGCACATATAGGACCCGAAGCCCCTTGTTGAAAGATATGACTCTGACATTCTACGAGCACATGTGATTATAAATACACACATCAAGATTGAGGGTTCGAAACATTTTACATTGACAATCACGCTGAGAGAGAAAAAAACCCACTAGGGTTTAGCTTTGTAAGCTCTTTTGAAGGTGGTAAGATTATCGATAAATGGAGAAGTAGGGTTGTTACCCACCTTGGGGGCTTGAACCTAGGTAATTCTGGTGTCCGTGTCTAACTCATTCCATCAATATCTATTGGCAAGATACTTATGTCGCCCTTTCCTCTGTGTGTATACTCTCATATACATGGTACCAAGGTTGTCAGAATCGTGATTTTGAATTGGATCGGAGCGCCGATGGTAGGATCACAAATCGTAGAATCTTCACTATCTAGATCGTAAAAACGTAGATTCTATGAAGTAAAATCGTAGAATCAGAGGGGTTAGTTTGGATTGTATAGTCGTAGAATCGTATAACAGAATCGCAATTTGGACAACCTTGTGTGGTACATAGATTTTGTGCATTTACACACATATGTACTATTTGAAACACAAAATTAACATGCTCGAACTATTAACTTCTAACAGAAAATATGATAAAAGATAGTCAAATCAATACAAATGAGTGCTTGTTAAACAACAAAAACGAATGCTCAGTTTAGAGGTCTCTAACCTATACTATGTGCATTCCGAAATATAGTGCTTATAGATTTATTTGATAAAAGAAATCAAGCTTCATAAATTTGAGCAAATTTGTAGAGCAAAAGATCTGCATCAATAATACCAAATAATATCATCATTACATACATGGTGAATCATTTATATTTTATTTATTCGGTATTATACATATTTGATGTTATACCTACGAACTTGCATTGTTGAACTTTGCAAAGTTCGACTATGATAAAATTACCGACATTGTATGGCTATGGCAGGAACATTTCCCCGTGTATTCTTCCAGCACGACACCGTGTGTATCCTTCTATTTGCCGAGCGGCCACAGATGCATTGACCATTGCTATGAAACTACAATGATATGACCAGCACATCTGTTGAAATACAGATGTGGGGTTGTGCGTTACTATGTCGCCCTGTAGTGAAATTCATAAAAATTTACGTGCTATATTTTTATACGAAGGGGGTACAAGATAGAAATGAGAACTTTAAACAAGTTGTCATTGTCTAAATCAGCTAATTAACTAATCATTCCAATCAAATTGCAACAGTCAAAGAAACCGGGGAGTGGGCTGTTGGGATCTCTCAACATCTATCTTTACAGTTTTTCCTGCCACATATCAGACAAATTCAACTACGCATGCGTTTGCTACTTGGAACCTGGAAGGTTCCCTCGTCTCTTTCATAGGTTAAGTTAAAACAGATATCTATCACCTGATAGGGACCAACTTTCCACTATCGGGCATATACAACAACACCGCTCTAATTAAGTGTTTAATTATTAGTGTGGGTGTCAGCCATGATGCATGCAACGGAAGAGAGCAGGATCTCCTGTAAATCTCAGATGTGCTGCCTTCTTGCATAAACAACGTCCAAGTGAACAAACACAGAACGGTTGCACGGCACAGCTCTGACCGATGCGTGCCAAAGAGTATTAACCTTTAGACTGGGTACCCTTAGCTGAGCGATGTTTTACTTTTCTCTAATTGTTTAAACTATACTGGGTCCATTGACATAGGCGTCAGCCATGATGCCATCGATCGAGTGGAGCTGGTTCGCCTATAAATCCCAGTTGTCTGCATGCTGCCTTGACCAGAGTTCAATCCAATCCAAGGCTCCATTTCTTCCCACCTTGAAGACAGGACAGGGCATGGAGAAAGACATGGACAGCGAGGTGACCTGCGTCGACTTCTGGTGCAACGAGTTCGGCATGCGGGTGCGGATCGCGCTGCGTGAGCTAGGCGTGCCGTTCGAGTACATCGAGGAGGACCTCCGCGTCCGCGAGAGGAGCGAACTGGTGCGGCGCATGAACCCCGTCCACCGCTCGATCCCCATCCTCATCCACCATGGCCTTCCGGTCTGCGGCTCCGCCAACATCATCGAGTACATCGACGAGGTATGGGGCGAGGAAACCCGTTTGCTCCCCGGCGACCCGGCCGACAGGGCCGACGCCAGGTTCTGGGCTGACTTCATTGACCACAAGGTATGTATGCAAACTGATGTTACTTTAATTTTCTGTTGGAGTAAATTCCCTTCGTCGTCGACGTGTTCATTTATCCGTGATCATCTTAATGAAATTAGGTGTTCAGCACCCAGACGAAGTTTTTCACCAGCAAGGGTGAGGAGAAAGAGGCGGCCAAGGAAGAGTTGGTCGAGCATCTTAAACGTCTAGAGGAGGTGCTCGGGGACAAATGCTTCTTTTCTGGCGATGAATTCGGGTTCTTGGATGTCGTCTTCATCCCATTTTCAAGCATGTTTTACGGGTATGAGCAGCATGGAGGGATTGACTTAGAGGCGGAATGCCCCAACCTCACGCGATGGGAGAAGAGGTGCAGGGAAAGGGAGAGTGTATGCGAGGTTCTTCCCGATGGAAAGGTCCAGTACGAATTACACAAGAAGTTTTACGGCATTGAGTGAACGGAATTTCGGTCGAATCGAATGTACTCCCTCTGTTCCAAAATAATTCAAGTTGTAGGATTTTCCTTAGTCTAACTTGGTAAAGTTTGTTTGACTAAGTATATTTTTAGAAAAGGAGGATGACCCCCGGCCTCTGCATCTGGGCGATGCATACGGCCACTTTATTAATTATTCTCACACGACCTTACAAAGTAATACAACAGTAAGACTAAAGCCGCCGTCTAAGCACCTCTATCCAGTTGATGAAGGGGCGCAGATAGTCTGGACCTAATATCAAACAGACATCGCAGCCAAACCTAACATCTAAGACCTGAGATCCCATCCAGGACGCCTGCCGGGCATGGGTCTCACCAGTCCGGCGTGCACTCAGAGGCCGCCGCCGCCAACTGCCACCGCTCCATCTTCAGAACTGTACTGATGCATCAACCTTGCTCGGTCCAGCTATCGTCGACGCC